GGGACTAAAGGTCGCGGCCACGTGGAGCTCCACCTTTAGTCCCGGTTGGTAACACCAACCGGTACTAAAGGAAATTTTATGATTTTTTTTTTGAATTTTTTTTAAAAAATTTAAAAAAAATTATTTTCAAATTTCTGAATTATTTTAACCTCTAATCTCTAATCACCACCCCTCATCACTGCTCAATTTATCCTCTAATCTCTAATCACCCCTCATCATTCCTAATCATTCAACTTGCCGAACGGTCATCCATCCTCCCACTCCCCCAGCCTGAGCACGCTTAACTTCCGGGTTCTATTCTCCCTCGTTTCCAAGTCTGCACTTGTTGTTTTCCTGACAATAGTAAGATGTCAATCCTATTAACCCTCAGGAATTTTGCGTGAGCATGAAGTGACACATTTCACTGTTTGAGTTTGAAACTATTGTTTTAAAAAACAATAATTATTTAGTAACACTAATATTTCTTGAATAATTAGTTTGACCATTGTTTGACCACAGTTTGACCAGAATTGACCAAAATTCAAAATAACTGAAATAATTATTTAGTAACACTAATATTCTAGAATAATTAGTTTGACCATTGTTTGACCACAGTTTGAAATTTTTTCGATTTTTTCCACTCTAGATCTTAAAAGCCCTGTAACTTTTTTTCTGTTAGGTTTTTGAGAATTTTGAAAATGTTTAAGGGGGTTCCCCCGGTTAAATTTGGATGTAACTTTTCGAGTAGATGATTTTTCATATAAAAAACTTTTTCATCTGAGTCAGTATGCAAAAGTTATGCCCATTTTACTAAATTCTAGAGAGATTTTGCAAATAAAGTCGAAATTCACATTTGCAAATTTTCCCAACAACTAGACCACATATCACATGGGAAACTTATTTTTTTAAATTTTTTTTGACATTTTCATCATTTTCTTTTATTTTTCTTAAAACTGAAAAGGCGATCCACGGGGAGGGGGGGGGGAGTTTGAAAATGTGACCTTTAGTATCGGTTCGTGCCATGAACCGGTACTAATGCCTCAAACCCCATTAGTAACGGTTTATGGCTCGAACCGAGACTAAAGGTCTAACCTTTAGTCCCGGTTGGTGCCACGAACCGGTACTAATGGGCATCGCATCGTTTAGTCCCGGTTCGTGGCACCAATTGGAACTAAAAGGTCCAGACGAACCGGAACAAATGGCCCACGTGGCCCCTGGGCGCACGAACCGGGACTAATGCCCCCATTAGTCTCGGTTCTAGACTGAACCGGGACTAATGAGCTAACCCGGAGTGGACCAAAGCCCTCTTTTCTACTAGTGTGTAGTGGTCTGGTAGATTGAACAAAGCCAGGTTGTGCCTGACCAAGTCATACTCATAGACCCTCATGTTGTCGGACATGAAGTAGAGCAGAGACCTCCCAACGAGCACGCTGGAATAATCACTAGAGACCATGGACTCCTCATGGCGCACCGAGGTTAGCTCCCCCCAGTCTCCGACGAGTATACACATGCCGACGTGACAGTAAGCCCATCCCCGTCGTAGACGGAGAAGGTGAAGACCACGCGGAAAGGACCCCCTAGGCAGCCGTGGTGGTCGTACCCGTCCGATGCGCAGAACACGGCCGCCGTCGGATAGTCACTCAAGGCCGCGACCGCGAGGACCTGTACGCGTTGCTGGGCGCCCGTGATTGGCTCCCACACGAGGAGTTCGTTGGCGCCCGGGCCCTTGGAGAGGAAGAGGGCGCGGCCGTGGCAGCAGTCGAGGGCCCGCCAAAAGCGGCCGTCCGGGGCGGCGAGGGAGAAGGAGGAGGCAGTAGTGGGGATGAAGCGGGGAATCTCCTCGTCGTACCAGTTGTGGAGGACGCCGAGCACGGGGGGTGTGCGGTGGAACTCGTGGAGCTGGCGGCGGAAGGCGGGGTGGGAGACGATGCCGCCCCAGCTCTTGCAGACGAGGGATGCGCGGAGGAGGCAGGTTGGTTCGTCGGGCGGGAGGCGTAGGAGGATCTCTTCGACGAGCTCGCCCGGGAGCGCCGGCGGCGAGATGCGGATGCGCGGCGGCGCTGCCATGGTGGTCGCGGGTTTGGGTCTGGGTCAGGGTGTGGGTGCGGGAGAGCGTGGAGCGGTTGCCATTTGGGCTCAACCAGGTTGATGAAAATTTCTTTTCTTTTTTCTTTTGATGAAAAAAGTGCTTGCCTAAAAATACACTCATGAAGATTCATTTAGAAAATTTAGAAAATGGTGATTTCAAAAACTTGTACCAGTAAGAATGGTGCGTCAACCCGTTGGCTGGGTAGATGGGTTAGCTGCCAGCCTGCCTGCGGGTCGAGCATAGGTGTCTAGCGGTAAAAAAAAGCAACAAAGATTAGCCCTGAGTTGGTCTCATCTTAAAAAAAAAATTGTACCAGTATTGTGAAGATTCGACTTTGCCTTGATATTATCTCCTCTTCAATAGAGAATGGATAATGATATGACCAGAGTACGAGCTAGTTTTTTTTCCTATATATCTTTTTTTTGAGAAACTTTTGATCTGTTCACGAAAAGAACCAGAGTTAACAAAAAAATTACAACCAGGCTGTGGACCACCTAACAATGACTACAAGCATCGTAGCGAGTCGAATGCACACCGTCGTCATTGCCCCTCCCTCACCGGACCTGGACAAACCTTGTTATAGTAGACAATGATAAAGTCATCGTGCTAAAGCCCACATGGGAGGACGTGGGCATAGCCCAGTGGTTGGGGGCGCATGATTGTAAACCCAACGACCAGAGTTCGATCCACGTCGGGGACGAATTTCTGGAATTCTCATGAGGGATGCTTCTTCTATATCAATAAACC